TCAGCCCCCCCATCATCTTTAATATTCGCAGAGGTCATCTACGTTTACAGTGACAGGAGTGCAAACACAATAACCAGCAAGGCTCTGCTTACAGAATTAAATATGTGAAATCTGTCCTCAACTGTGTGTCCAGGTAAACACACCTGAGTACTAACGACCGCTGCAGTCAGACAAGTACTCGAGTATCAGTTGATACTCAAAGCTTAGGGTTTGCAGACAGTTCGCTGGATTCAGCTTCCTGGACCACAAACAGCTCTGTGCACTCATGAATCACACGGACCAACTCATTCATCGGGTTTCACACATGCACTGCAGCCCCGAGCCGCTCCATCAAGCGCCCGGCTCCATCTCTGACTGCACGGCGTCCCGACCTGAGTCTTCAGAAACCTACACGTCCGAGGAGCTGCACTGAGCGCTCACGTTGTCTAATTCAGTGAAATCACAGGTTTGACTGAATAAAAAGAGAAACAGTTTCCGCCTAACCGCCTCAGAGACACCTGACAGATTTACAAAATTCAGCAGATGAAGATGATCCTGGTCTGTGGATGCATGTGCTCCCACTCACGGTGAGCACGCACCTCTCCCACAGGCTGACACCAGCCTTTGACCGTTACTCAGAACGCACTTTGTGAGGTTTCCTGTAGCAAACGTGACTCCGGGAGCGTAAAACTGATGGCTTCATTAAAGACCGGTACGACTGCAGGTGTTTGACCTACAGCAGAAAGAAAAAGTCAGTGCTTGAAGAGAATCAGCTGAGGGGGTGAGGAAGAGTGGACGAGCCCTCCTGCTGAGTGTTTTGGTTTGCGGGGAAAGGGGTGGAGCTTGGTTTGAAACCCAGTTTGGCTGGAAAAGCCTGAAGCTGATCAGGACTTGAAGCCGTTTCCTGCTGGATTGCTGCCCTCAAACCATCAGAAAGGGCATGTTCTAACTCAACACGCCACCCGTCCTGTCGCACGCCGCCCTCTGGGCACGTTTCACTGTCATCATTCACATTTGGCCTCCAGTGGTTGTAAAAACACAGAGGTCAAGTCATCGGTGTGTTAGCAGTTTGTCTTCCTCAGAGACTGAAGAGACATTTGTCCCACCGAGACAATTACACAACTATGACAAAGACGAGCTCACACAACCAACACGAGATTGTTCCCAGAAGCAACCAGTCCAACGTTTAATCTGACAGACTGCAGCGACAGGATTAATCCAAGTTTGTTTTATGTTACTGATCATGTGACTTGATCAAGATAAACAATCAATAACAATCCTGATAATAGCCCCTCCCATCCACCTTCCTCCACCCGCTGTTCTCAGAACTTTATGAGTGTGAATGAGTTTTGTCTCTCTCACACACACACACACACACACACACACACACACACACACACACACACACACACACACACACAGCTGTACCAGCCTGTACCAGACAGGAAAACAGAGAGGAGGGAGTGGAGGGTGGACACACTGAAACGGAACAAAAACAGCTTCAATTATTTTATGTGAGCAACAAAAGCCCGTCAAACTGAAAGATAGTCTCATCTGAGTCATGGACACGCAAGTGGATTTAAACATGTTGAACGTGACACCGATTCCTCCCCCACCCTCCAGAAACACCACAGCCTCTAACAGCCTTTCACGTTCTCTCACAAAATCTGATCGGTTGACTGGAGAGCAACGTCCTGGCTCTTATTCTGAAAGTTCCCAGCCCTTCCTGTCACGTCTCTTTGCTGCTTCCCTACTAAGGCTCTCAACCTGCGGACGAAGTCCTCCACCTCTGCACTGGACTGCAGCTGGTGATGTAGTCCTGGTTCTAGTCTGGAGGTCCTGCACCAGAACCAGAACCTGCAACAGGTGGAGAACTGGTTCCTAAACCACTAACTAACCAGCTCACCTGAGCAGGACAGACTGGTCAGCAAGGCCGTGTTTGTGAGAAAGGAAGCATGAGACAGGAAGGGCTGGATCTTTCAAAATAAAAGCAATCAGACTGTCCGGTGAAGTAAAAGTAGAAGGTGCTGTTCTCTGGCAGATTAAATAAGGAAATTTTGTAAAATATTTAAAAAAAAAAAACATAAGCATGGAAAGGACTAAACTCAGTCCTCATACACACCTGGACTTCAGCAACGTCCCACTGCCTGAGGACGCAAATGGACCAAATCAGACAGCAGTGACCAATCTGCCCCGGCACGAGCCCCCCAATCAGGCCGGAGAAGAAGCGAGCGAGCGAGCGAGCATTCCTGAGAACAGAGGACGTCTGTCTCTCTTTGGCCGGACGCCCTCAGCCCCGTCCTCACCTCACTGCTTCACCAGGGCTCTGCGTGGATGGTAAAGTGAGGCTCCCACCGCTCTCTGAAATTCAGCCAATGACCCTCCACATCCAGCTCGCACAACACCTGCAGCTTTCTTTCTGTGCTGCAGAAGCAAACCTACATCCACAAACCTACATCCGCTGACGAGGAAACCAAACACAGGCACCCAACCTGACTTCCACAGCACCCTCACAGATAACACCAGCCTTATTAAGGACAACAAAGACGAGCTTCAGGGAAAGCTTTGACTTCAAAATAAATCAGAAAAATACAAAACAAGTCCAATGGTTCCTTCTCCAAAAAGATAAACACTAGTAGTTCTCAGAGAAAACTCACTTCTCCTGCAGAGCCTCACTCATCTTAGCTCTTCATTTGGGTCTGAGGTCTGAGAGCCGAACACACAGCAAGGGGAGCTGCATCTTAAAGGTGGAGAGCACTCAGAGTCTGGAGCCCTGATGTGAAACTCTTACAGGTGAGAAAACTTTCCACAAACACGCCAGACACGCATGTGCAGCTGAACCGTGACCATGTGCAGGAAACTGCAGATGCAGCAATGAGTCACATCCAACCAGCCACCGACCGCGGTCACTTCACCACGCCGTGGGACTCCAAGGCAGTCCTGATGTCATCAGATGAAACATCTAGCACCCGAGAGCCGGCTGCCCTGTGAACAGCTCACACTGAAAGGTGACAAATTCTGTCTCACCTGCACAGGTGTGATCAGAGCGGCAGCAACAAGGAAGGGGAGTGTTCTGTGTCCTCGTGCCTGCTGCAACCCGTTCATGCTGCACAGGTAATGCAGCTCCTCCACACCTGCTGCGTCTGCCAGCAGCATCAGGAGGAGTAGACGCCGGGACCAGACCAGCATCCGCTCCACAGTGTGAGGAGGCACAGGAGGAGCACGGGGGACCTCCAGCGGCTCCTCGTCTGACTGAGATCTCCCAGACAGACCCTGTGATGGTGGCGTGAGGGCGTGACGCCCTTTAGTGGGACCTGCGCTCGCATCCAAACTACGCTCTTTGTAAGACTCAACATTCACAGCAACTGCATCGTAACTTTATTCACAGAAATTCAATCAGATAAATGAATTCTGGGCACCAGTTTACTCAGAGGGTGAGCTGGCGACCGTGTGATCCATGGCCAGGAAGCCGGGTATGAGTCCGACCCCCCCCCACTGTGCCTCCTGTCTGTCTCCATCCAATAAAGGCTATTAAAAAATAATAAATGAACAAGTAAAATTTAAAATATTGCGACTCTGCTTTGATGGAGCCACCACTCTCTCTGGAGCAATGCCCCGCCCACAGACATGTCTGATTGGAAGGCAAACGCAGGTAAACATTAAACAGGTAAACTTCTCCAAATTTTATCTGCTGAAACTGCAGAACCACGACTCTGTCCACAGCAGTGAGACAAACCAGCACAAGGTCACGCTGAAAATAGTCTAATAATAATGCAGCGACTCACAGTGAAGGGCGACAGGCTGCTGGGAGGGCGGGGTCACATCTTAACACCGCCCACATTCACAAGAAACTCAAATATTTAGGACAGAAATCCCCCAAAACAAGAGCAGAGAACTACAAATTTACAAGAAACACATACCATGAATTAATTCGTTTTTTCATAAAGGTATGACTTTTTCTAAACTCAAATATCAAAATAATAAATGGAAAAAATTCAAATATTGACCAAAAACGTTACTTTAAAAAATGTAAAATAAAACACAAAAAGATCCCAAAAAATTCCCTCCAAAAATGACTAAAATGTACAAATATTTATGAGGAAAATGTAAACTTAAAAAAATCAATTTACCAAAAAAGAATTAATAAAATTGTGGGGCAAAAAATAAAAGCAAAGAAATTCAAAAACAGATTAGGAAAAAAGTAACTATTTACTGAATGCCCGTCACACATGTTTGTTTGTTTTAAAAAAAAACAACAAATAATTGAAGAATAAAGCCCAAAAAAAGCGCACAAAACATGACTGGGAACATATATGCGGGGTAAAAACAAACAAACAAGAGAGAAAAAATAAAGAAACCCCAAACGCTGAGAGGACTGCGTGAGGAGGCCGGGCTGGGCTTGTCCCTCACACCGACTGAAGGTTTGAATCCGAGCCGCCCACTGCCACTGAGTCCTCGGTAATCTCGGACCTGATAACGCTCCATTCAAAAACACATTTCCTTCCACGGCAGTCACGGGGAGCGGCAGGGAACAGGAAATGAACGCTTTATTTCTCTGTACAAGGAAATAAGAAGCTCACTGTAAATACAGCTTCCTGTAGTTTGACAGGTTGTCCAGCACTCAGGTTAACTTCAGCAGGACTACGCGGCGGCGTTTTAGTAAAAATGGCGCTTTTAGTCGCTGCTGAGGTGGAATAACTGAAATAAAGATAAGCTGAGCGGTGTATGCAGGTACCTCTCCCCCAGCCTGGAGTTTGTCTCACTGACAGCTGGCTAACCTTAGCTCACTCTCGAGCCTCTCTGCGTTTTCCTGCTTCTCTCACCCGAGCGACAGGGCTCCGGGGCGGACCGGCTCCGTTCACGGCCTAAACTCGGGCACCTGGGTCGGTTTGGCCCGTCAGCGAGCCGCCCTGCTCGGAGAAACGCACTTTATTCGAGCCTAGCGTTAGCTGCTAGCTGCTAGCGGCACCTGTTGATAACAAAGCCACTTGAGAGCGAACAGAAAGCGCTGGAAGCCTCACCTGCTTCAGCGCGACCTCGGCCTCTGTCTCACAACTCAATCCCCCGGGAAATTGCCGGGTCACAGCACCGCTCTGAGCCCTATCCGCCACTCGCTTCGCGGACTTTCTGTCGGTGATTCTCCGTTTCTCTGGCAAAGTTGCTGCTCGGACACCACCGGAGACCTCCCCTCCTCTTCCTCACTGTCATTCCCAGCTCCAGAGAGGGGCGGGGCCAGCGAGCCACCAGCTAGATAACACGGTGACGCTGATTGGACGCGCCTATGAAAGGAATTTGGTGTCAGCCAATGAGACATGCCGCTACATGGAATGCAGCACAGCGAGGTTAGCGTTAAAAGTAAAGCAGGGGCTTCCCCAGGATTTTTAACAGGGGGCCAAGAACACCAACATGGGGGGTTCTGATCATAAATAAATAAAGAGTTATTTAAAGTCTTCAGGTGAGTACAAGTCATAGTCTTCCGTACCCTGTCTTGGATGTATGCAGCTCGTTGGACTGCTGTCTGCTTCAAACAACCACACGGGGAAAATAAAGTTATCCTCTACCTCGCTCGTTGTTTACTCTGAGTGATGTCAGTTTCATGACATCACTCATAAATGTGATCTGTTCAGTCAGCTGTGCTGTGTTTAACTTCTGCCTGCTGTGATTATCTTCGTGCATCATCAGTGACTCACTGTGAGGAATGTAATTCGATGAGAATGTGCGGACAGGTGGGATAAAAGCTGCAGATTCAGTAAATCACTTTTTGGCACCCAGTCTGGCTCAGAGAATGGTGGTCGTGCTCACTCAGAGAAATAATGACAAATACCACAGACTTCCAAAATAAAAGTCCTATTGTACATCAAATGTACCCAAATAGATTATTGGATTGTAACTGAGACAGTCATGTGTTCTACACTTGAATGGTCTCCATGGGTTTGATCATTTTGTTGTTCTAGCCTTCCCAGTGCATTTCAGATCCAGTTTAACAATCTATTATTTGTTTCTCAGAGCGTCGATGGTTTGGCACCGCCTTACCCGACAAACCGTTTGAAACCCTTCAGTTCTACCACAGCACTGAGGCACTGCTGCTCCTGGAGATTCAGAGATCCAGGTTTGAAAGCAGAGGCGATGGAGCCTTCTCAGGGGTGGCTGCTAAACTTAGCTTTTCACATTAGAGCTGCCCGAACTCTAAGTCACTATAAACAAAAAACAACTGCTCTCAGGTCTGTTAGAGCCGCACACCCCGGCTTTTATTATGCAGCCACAGTCTTTACTCGTAATTTGTAGTCTGTATTCAATGTTGATTTAGTGATTGTTTTATACAGTGTACATTTGGTATAAGTTGCAATGCAACTTGCAATAAAACTAACCTTCGACTTTAGAGTAAGGCCATCAGCGAGGGTCTGCTGCAGAAACACTTCAGTACTAAAAGCAGGTTAATCAGTAACTTTCAGGACATAACGAGCTCTCCAGCCGGAGCAGGTGAATCATGTGAAACGCTGCAGCTGGTCTGAACGTTTCTCAGGACTGTGTGATCTGCAGCAGAGCCAGACTGAGGCCGGATGCAGTAAAGCACTTCCTAACAGGGATGAAAACATCCACACATTCCTGATGTCGGATTATTTTTATTTCCAGACATGAAAATGAGGTCAGCTCATCATCATCATCATCATCACCACATCGGTCGGTCGTTGTGTTCAATAAAATGACAAATGTGCACATTAAATGAATATTCTGCATGTTAATAAAGAATCTGAAACTACATCTCCCATGATGCACAGAACAGCCGACTAACCCTGCAGATAGAATCTGAGGGGCGGAGCTTCAGGTCAGAAACTACAACAAAACGTCCTCACGCGCAGCTTCAGAGTGTTTTTTACAGCGCCGGAGGATCTGCTGGACCAGCACGGCCCGGCCTGGCCCAGGTTCAGGGTCAGCGCGGCTGTCCCAGCAGGCCAGCTTTAGCCGCCAGAGCCTCGTTCTGCTGGATGTGATACTCCTGGAAACGCATGGAGATCCTCTGAGTCATCTTCAGGTACTTCTGCAGGCACGACTCGGAGCAGCTCGACTGAAACACAAACAGCTGTGAGGATTTTATCCAGATGTTCCTTCACCTACATGTTTCCGTCATCCAATCATCTTTTTTACCTCCTCGGGCTTCACGTCTCTTGTGGTGAAGTCTCGGACGCAGTCCATGAAGCAGTTCTCCGTCACCTTGTTGTACGTCCCCAGAAACTCCTTAAACTGAACACAGGAAACAGACACGGCTCAGAAAACGGCTGCAGAGCAGCAACTCAGCAAAACAATCTGAGAGACGACCGAGAAGGATCCGAGGTTCAGGTCTGGGAAGAAATTTCCTCAAACAGGTTTTAACCTCCGTCCTCTCGCTGCTTCAGGCACGCTCAGTTTTAAAAATAAAAAAAAAATATGATTCAACTACAGGTGGAGCTCATAAGTAGAACCGTTAGTGCAATTTCTGGCATTAGATTTACATGTGTGCTGGAGAGCTGCTCCTTTTGTTCACTAAAGCACATTTGTGAAGGAATAAAAAAAAAAAAAAAAAAAAGTCTACTGCTCTGAAAAAGTAAATGTTCAGCGAAGTGCAGCACAGAAGCTTCCGTTCATAAAACAGTATTACAAAGAATAGTGTATTTGTCATAAATAAGCCCTTCAATATTCTTTTTCAAAAACTTTTAACCATTTTGTTTTTTTATTTTCTTCTGTTTCATTTCCTGAAGTTTCACCTTTTTCCATTCATTTACCTCCCTTTTTACAAACTTGCTTTTCATTTCAGATATTCATTTCTTAACTATAATTTTCATAATGCCATATAATATTTTCTAGTTTCATTTGATTTATTTTTATTTAATTTATTTTCATTTATAAATGGTAAATGGCCTGTATTTGTATAGCACTTTACACTACATTCAGTCATCCATCCATTCACACACTGGTGATAACAAGCTACATTGTAGCCACAGCTGCACTGGGGCGCACTGACAGAAGCGAAATGAACAAATTCCTTGATCAGGAAGGCTGGCTCTGTGGTCGGCATGAAGCTGGACACTCTAGTGACAGTGGCAAAGAAAAGGACACTAAAAAACAAAACAAAAAACTGCTGGACATTATGGACAATGCTGGGCATCCTCTGCACACGGCCATTAACAACCAGAAGAGTCTGTTCAGTGACAGGTTGCTTCTCCCAAAGACAAGCACCAACAGACTTAAAAACTCCTTTGTCCCACACGCCATCAAACTGTTTAACTCCTCTCTGGAGGACAAAGGACGGGGAAACAACTAAGCTGTAGTGCCTCTTCACTTCACTCTGCAATACTTTTTGTTCAATACTTTTTGTTAATAGCCAGCGGTGCAATAGACCTCAATACTTGAAATGTGCAATTCACTTGTATTTTTTATTTGTATTCCTATTGTTGCGAGATCGATCAACTTTAGACCAGACAACAAACGACGGAGACTCCGGAAAAGTGCAATCAAACGATGAGTTTTATTATCACAGGAGAACAACCAACCATCAGCATACAGAATGTGTTGCTCTGACAAAAATACAATGGGTTTTGGTTTTATAGGATAAAATATCACACCTACGTCAATACAGTTCAAAAATACCTGGTGACAGACAGACAAAAGTTCAACTCGTACAAACAAGGGTTCATCACATATACTTTTAATAACTATAAACTGACATATAACTTCTCTTTTCTACATTACTTGCCTTTTAAGGTAATAACTTCAGGTCTTAGCGTTTCTGAGAGCTAATAATGGACCCTCGTCATTAATCCCTAAGTAGAGTACTTTTGCAGCCAGTCTCAAACTGAAGTAGAAGACGCTTAGGACTTCACTCAAACCTGCTACTAGATTAATATGTGTATTGTAAGCATGCATGCAATTAACCTGCTATGTTCTCATCTCCCCTCAGCATGTATCATCTGGACACTCTCACCAGTGAAGCTTAAAACCTTCTAGAATGGAACATCAACTCTAACCAAGCACATTCATGCATTGTGTATAAAATGAACTCAACCTGTAAAATAGAAAGGGCAATGTGATGACAGACATATTCAATGCAATTTTATAAACCCTGCAGGAAATATTACCGATAAATGATACTGTAAAACATGTTATTAATACATTCTTCATAAGGCAGATTATATGGTAGCAATAAAAGAATCTCTGAATCCCAACACTATTTATACGAAGGGGATAAATAGGAATACAAATAAAAAATACAAGTGAATTGCACATTTCAAGTATTGAGGTCTATTGCATATATATATTATTCTGCTCACGCTCTGTAACTTCTGTCGGTGCTGTGCTGAGGGATTAATAAGGTTTTATCTTATCTTAAATACTTTATCTTGAAGTTACTTTTATCATACGTTCTAATTTACGTGCTTAATTTTTTACTTTAAAAACATTTCATGATCCTATCTCTCAATTATACGGTTTCATTTATTTATTATTTATGTGCATTGCTTTTAGCTACTCTTTAAAGGAATTTTTCATTTCTAAATTAAAACTAATTACTTTCTTGTCCCCTCATGTATTGGTCCAATAAGCTGGCACAGTATTCTGGCATTGACGGTATTGAGTTTGTTTTGATTGATTCTGTTTTTATCTATTATTTTTACCTACGGGTCTGTCGCTCTCTCCTTTTTTGTCCCTCACAGGCCTCCTTGCTGTATATCTGTGAAGGTTCTCAGTCATCCAGGTCATCGTAGTCTAAGGAGTACTCATTCGAGAAGCTAACCCAGAACTGAAGAAGCTTCTCAGACGAGAGGTGAAATGTAGTGATGGGTAGATGAGGCCTCGTGAAGCGTTTCAGCACATTCCCCAAACTGTATCGACACTGCGTCGGCACAGTTTTGCTCCATACTGACACCTGCTGGACCTTAAATATCATTACAGGCAACTTACTTGAGACTCACAACAGACACTGATTCAATAACCCAGTCATACTTGTACACTTTAAGGTATTGTACTTTCCATGGAATCATTTTATATCTTCTATATTACAAATATTGTAGACATCTTTAAAATATATTATGAATGACATGATGTGAAAATTAAAATGAAAGTATTGTGAATGTAACATTACCCATTTAAATGTATTTGACTCAGAGTTTATTATAAATTTCTATTCAGAAAAATAGGTTTATCCAATGTTTTAGCATTCAGTCTATTGCGTTTTT